GCAACATTATTTTTCAGGGACGTGTCTCGCACAACAGAACACAACACACTGCTTCCAGGCCTGACTTAGCAGAGCGAAAACATCCGCAGTTGCAGAAGTTGTTGCTTTGAATCGCATTGCCCAGCCCAGTCCTGTAAGAACATGGACGTACCATACATACTTGTCTGTCCTGGTGCTCAGGCTCAGAACCTCACGCAATAGCCGAAGAGGCTCTTCAAGTGCCTGTGAAGTAAGGCATCTCATGCTTCATCTCTTGGGGGGACCTTTACGGGGATGCCTGGGCCGACAAAGAAAACCTTCGGCGAAGGCAGGTGGATTAGCACGGCCGCGGGCAGGGGCGCCTAATTGTAGAAGCATCGGCAAACTGCGGACATATTAGCTCCGTAGGCCCCCTAGTTAAAGTCGGGCCATGTTTCTTCCCGACTTAGCAGGGAGCCTCTGCGGTTGCTCCGTCCTTTCACGACCTGCTTTGGTTCCAGTCATTTCGGGTGCTGCCATGCGGTGCAAGGGCCCAGCAACCGTCAAGCGCAGTAGGGAGTATCGAGTGTAAGAAATAAACAACAAGCTCCAACGGCGACAGGTGGCAAGAAAAGTCACCCCTCCAAATCTGGGGTCAGTACTAACCGGAAACTTAAGCCGTGTTTCCTTCCACACATGGTAAAGCAAGACCTCAAAATCACAGTAGTGCCAAAACTAAAAAACACAAACGGGGGAGTAGATGCCTATAGTAACCCCGACAAAGCCGCTTATCATAGTCTCTGCAACCCACTCTGTTCCGCATCCCTCCGGATATGATTCGGGGTTATGACGTTCACTCCCGAAACATTCAGGACTGGCTTGTACAGATCCATTTCCTGGATGGGGTTCTAGGGATGTGAGCGGCTGGCGTAACAGTCCAAGACAAGTACAGTGGCGGCGGATGTGGCTTCGTATGCGGCGACTCCTTTTCTGATGCCCTTCACCTGCCTGTGTAGTAAGGTCTCTCATGATTAATTTCTTCATTTCGGCAAAGCCAGGTGCATCAGCACGGCTGCTGGCAGGGGCGCATAGTTGCAGAACCTTCGGGACCCTAAGCAGACATGTCTAGCTGCTAGCTGGCCACCGCACATGAAGCAAAGCTGCGTAGTTTCATCAATTTGGGCATCAATAAAAGCTTTAGAAAACTCACCAGCGCACGCGCCCATGTAAGTTTTGTCATATGAGCGAGCTTCTAAACTCGCGTTATGGCAAGCAAGTCACGGTTGGACATGGAATACAAAAAGGCTGGAAAGCCATGGGGAAGCCTGAAAAGCGACACCCTGCAATCCAAAAGTCATTACAGTGCACTTTCAACTCAGCCGACATGCAAAGCGACACCTCAATTTTGCAACATCTATGCCGACGAAACCCGGTGAAGCGGGGAACCCTGTAAAGCGTTACCCCTCATGAGGCGTCCATTACCTTAGACAAGGAGTTTAGACGGACGCTCATAATATCAGATTTCTTCCGCAAGCCTAGTTTCAATCGGTGCGGGTTTCCGTAGGGAAGTTGTTTGGGAGTTCCTGCGCTAGCGCCTCCAGCCTGGTATCCCTGTGTCTCGCATCAAGAAGCCGGATCCTCGGGAAACGTGCGCTAGCCAAAGAGACATTAGCAGCGTAAGCCTGGAAATGGCTAGAATTCAGGGAATGTGTACAAACTATTCCCAGGCCCCTACCCAAGGTCAGGGCCATGCTTCTTCCCGACTAAGCAGGGAGGCTGTGCCACTGCTCCTTCCTGTCACAACCTGCTTTGGTTCCAGTCATTTGTCGTGTTGCCAGGTGGTCAAACAGGCGCTCACGGCTGGCGGGGCCAAAAAGCAGCAGTTACCGAGTGGCCTTGCATAGAGCCATGATACCAATTAGCTTGGGCGATCGTCAAGCCTTCACGCAAGTAGGATCGCCATAGAGCGTAAGAAGTGAGCAACAAGTCCCAACGGCGATAGGACACCCAAGAAGGCGTGCCTCCAAATCTTGGGTCGTGTACCAAGTGGCAACCATATCATTGATGCCTCCCGCCAAAAATCGTAAGCGATACCTCAAATTAGTAGTGCCAAACCCCTTCCAAATGAAGAAATGGATCCCTACAGCAATCTCATCATGACCCCTAATCATGGCGTATACAGCCCATTCTTCATGATGCCCCAGGATATGATTCGTAGGTATGTTTGCCTGCAGGAATTGTGTGCGCACATCCATTCTCTGGATGGAGCTTTCAGGATGTGAGCGGCTGGCGTAACAGTCCAAGACAAGCACGGTGTCGGCTGATGTGGCTTCGCGTACGGGTGTGAAATTGAATGAGACGTTTCAAGCTCGAAACCTTAGACACTCCAGCCAGAAACATCAGCTGCATAGGGCCCCTGCCCAAGCGTCCCGACTAAGCAGGGAGCCTGCGCTTGTGCCATTGCTCCCTTCACAATCTGCTCTGGTGTCAAACATTTCTCGTTCTGCCAGGTGCTGCAAAGGGTCCAGGGCTGGAGGGGCCAAAGGCGGCGGTTAGAGGCTTGATACCCATGTGCTTGAGGAACCATCAATAATTCCATAGTAGGGCGCCTAAGTAGGACTGCCGTAGAGTGTGAGAAATGAGCAACAAGCTTCAACAGCGACTGGACACGCGAAAAGTCGTGCCTCCAAATCTTGGGTCGCGTACCGAGTGGCAACTATATCATTGATGCCTTCCGCCAGATATCGTAACGCGATCCCTAAGACTTAGAGTGGCACCAAACCCCCCATCCAAATGAGAAGGAATAGAACCCTCTAGTAATCCCAGCAAGACCACTTAGGATAGCTTCTGCAGCCCACTCTTCATGATCCATCGGACATGCTTCGGGGGTATGTAAACAGTCAGGAACGGATTGTGCACATCCATTCTCTGGATCGGGTTCTAGGGATGTCAGCGGCTTGCGTAACAGTCCAAGACAGTTACCGTGGCGGAGGATGTGGCCTCGTATAGGGGCGTTGGCTTGGGTGAGACGAAATCTCAAGGTTCAGAAGCTCTTTGCCGCAAACCAGGAAAGCTTCAACCTTGCAGCCCAAAACCCCAATCTCTAAATCCGGGTTGAACAGATTATTACGTCAAGACTTCGTTTCTGACAGGAACCATTGCAGACAGGTCACGCGAGACGTACTTGCGGCCTCTTCACTGCAAGCCCGCCAGACAAGCAATTGATGAGGCCTAACTACAATGTGAAGCGCCCTCTCATCAATCTGAGCTCTGGCCCTGCGCCGTGAAGCAAAAGTAGGTGGATTAGCATCTCTGCGGGCAGGGGTGCATAGTTCCAGAACCATCCGGACCTTGCTGCAGAAACATCAGATGCTGCGTAAGGTCAGGGCCATGATTCTTCCCGACTCTGCAGGGAGCCTGTGCCATTGCTCCTGCCTCTCACAACCTGCTTTGGTTGCAGTCGTTCGTCGTGTTGCCAGGTGGTGCAATTAAGGGCCCCGGCTGGAGGGGTCACAAGCGGCAGTGACCAAGTGGCTTTGCATAGAGCCTTGATGCCAATTCGGCTGAGCGATCGTCAAGCCTTCCGGAGAAGGATACAGGTACGCAATTAGGACCGCCATAGAGCCGAAAGAAATGAGCAGCAAGCCTCAACAGCGACAGAACACCGCAAAAATGTTGCCTCAAATCTTGCATCAATATAGAATGGAATCTAACGGATGCTTCCCGCCAAAAGTCGTAAAGCGATGTCTCAAACTCATAGTAGCGCCAACACCCCCCACCCCCGAAAATCATCCAGCACCTGGGTCCCGTAACATGCGAGGCCACATCAGCTCTAGAAGTATGCCCTTCTGTGGGCTTGGCGCGCCTGCCGACGACTTCTGATGTCTATCATATGAGCGGCGTTCAAACTTGTGGTCCCTGCTTGGGTTCCTACAGTGTTCCTACTATAATGTGCCCCTTGTACTTGCGGCCAGGCGTCAGGCACGCACGTTTGTGTACATGGTCCCACAGTCAGCGAGTGCTGGCGAGCGCCGTAGACATGACCACCAGCCTTATCCTTGGCTCCCATAGGGACCTCCTACACTATAATCCTTGCTATGGGGACCCCCAAGAATACCCCTAAGTTTGGGGAAACCCCTGTATGCATGGAGCTGGTTCCGCGCCTAAGCGAGGATAGCCAGGTGGTGCGGTCTCAACCTCAGAATCCCTGCGAACCTGCTCCATAAATCCTCATCCTCCCAAGGAAAAGCCCTAATTGCAACGGAGCAGCAGTCTTGGAAGCCTTCCCAACCTAGACCGCTGCTGAAGTTGTGCGGTGAGGCGTGGCTCGCCTGTGGGGCAGTCAAGTTGAGGACACGTGAGTATCAGCATTTCAGTCAGACTCAGTGTTCGACTTTGCTGCCGATCCTCGAAAACCATAAGAAAGCCAAAGCTTCAGGGCGGTCGCCCTTAGAAAAGTCATCGCTTAAGTGGGCAAGAGCCTCGCCGGTTTGCTGCTTGCTGAGCTTATGCAAAGCCTATGACACGCCACTCTACACTCTCTCAACAGCCCTTAACCCCGACGCCCAAGGCCCTGAGCTGAACCTTCGAGTCCCTAGAGCCCGCATCTTGGCTCCTCCCGCCCTTATGGTCAAAACACCAACCTCTAGGCATTCAAACCTCAATGTTCCGCTGTAAGCTTCGCAGTCCGGCTGAAAAGCTCAGGGGGATGCCCGACCTCCTGAGCCAGGGCTGGAGTCTAAGATGTCATTCTATATCCCTGAGAGCCTTATAATTTTGGAGTCCAGGTTAGATATGGTTAGGTGACAGTTTCCACACAGCCTCGCTTGCAATCCCTGGCCGTGGCATCAGGATCTCTCATCTGAGGTCAGTCACCAGTTATTGAGACCGAAGCGCCGGCGCCGACGGAGGTGCGGACGGGTAGCAGCTGCTCAAGTTGGGGCCAGCTTGGCCGCCTCGGACATGGGCTTCCGGTGAGCTATCGAATCTCAGCAGTTGAAACACCTCCAGCACCTTGCCCTCCTTAATTGTGGGGCGGCAAGATGGCAAGATCAGATCCGAGTCGGCCACCGCTGCCTCCTTCGCTCTATTACCAGAAGGAACCGTCCTCTGAAGAGCAGCCAGAGCACTCTGAGCCTCCACAGCATCAGAAGGACAAGACCGAGGCGCCCAGGAAGCAGGCTTCGAACAAGCAAAAGTCCAAGAATGCGAGCATCGTCTCGACATGCAAGAATCTGTCAACCATGACCCGTCTGACCGAGCACTCCGAGGAAGGGGGAGTACAGTGGCCTGGTAAGCGCGGATGCTGCGGCGTGTATCACTCCAGAACTTACTGGGGGCGAACGGGATTCGGCAAACAGACCTATGGTGTCTGCTGCTCAAGGGCAGAGCTGTACCTATCCCAGTTTCATACTCACTGACTTGTACATCACACTAAGTTAAACTGCCATAACCGTCGCTACTGAGCAGGGTTAGTAAGATCTCTCTTCTTCCTGTGGCGCTGGAATGGCTTCCACATTTAGCCCAGGACTCTGGCGCCGGGGACCTCCCCCTGTTGTCACCAAGGCTAAGCTTACCTCTGGTTAGCTGGGAATGAAGGAATGGAAAAGAGAATGAAAACGACTGTAATGGGTTATAATTGTGACTACTTCAAGGATCCATTCCTTCGACATTCCTAGCTCACCAGAGGTAAGCAAGGCTAAGTCCAGGCTGAACCTCGCATCTGCCAGTGCAGCCGAGTGTACGGCTGCTGAAAGCTTGGCTTCTGTCTGTGTGCCTGCGCGAGTTCCCTATTGCGCTTGCCTACATCCTTCTAGGAAAGAACATGTATACCATCAGTGCCAGCAGACAGCAGCTTGGGATGTATGTGACAAACCAGGACCGCAACTGAAGTGACCAGATCAACCACACAGCCCAAAAAGAGCGCGAGAAAAGACGCTCCACATCTGGGTTGGGGGCTTGGGCAGAGGGATGGTTGGCAGGGTACAAGAAGGAGGGTTTGAGCCTATAGCATGTACTCGCCTCTTGTGTGGCCTGCCGAAACAGGCTGCGAGGCCATTGATGGTACAAGTTCATGCCACACATGCGAAAGTTCAGTCAAGCTTCCCAAGATTGGTTCAAACACGCCTGTAAGGCTACAAGCATCCTTTCCAAACTTATGTGTCAGCAATCTGGTTGAAAGCTGCTCTCTGAGGCTTGATCCAGAGCCTAGACTAGACAAAGAGTGACGATTTCTGTGCATCCTTTTGCAGCCATGGGCGGCTCCCAATCTGGGTTTGAGCGCTTCGACTTGAAGGTACGCTCTGTTTTGCAGAAATGCACTAACCTTTGCCTGTTCAGGGCTAAGGATGTAGAGCTTTGCGGGGGTGTGTTGACGTCGTGCAGGAAGGCACCTTGAAGAATCACCCCACCCAGAAAGGAGGGCGATAGAACTCGAAAATCTTGATGCTTCTTCTTGCCATCATCACAGGCCACGGATAGTTGAGTGGTTTAGTTACCGTGGTTGGCATGGTCCATCTGGAAAGTACTGTAATACATGTTAGCCGCAACCAAAATGATTGAACAAGGGACCCTGAACCCCTGAAACATAATTACAAAGCCGTTGGTTCCTAGATCCGTAAGGGCCCATCGATCTAAGGGAAATTGATCTACTACATTCATCCTTTTCGTGGCGAGCACAGTTGCTGTTATCTATTTTCGTAGGTTTTTCAGCATTGCTGGGAAATCATTCTAGCACAAGCATGGCTATCAGTGATTCCGCTTTGTACATAGACCATCAAATCCGATGAGCTATCCCATCATGACTCATGAAGACCAGAGCGCATTTCCAAACCCCAAGCCCTGGTATGCTGACTTTACAAAGGTTCCTCTTCAATTTGGGCATCGATACGAGTATACGGGGGTTTGGAGTAGGGGGTTTCAAAGGGAGTCCGCATAATGAGGATTGTTGCGTAATATGGGTTTTTTTGACGTATAGAGGCGTGGCTTCCAAAATGTCAGAATGCCATGCGCATTCGTATGATGAACGTTGTTTTCGCCGGAGGACGGCGCCTTTGATGCGGAGGAGTTCCGCAAGGCGCTGGAGTTTTGTTCAGATTTTGCGGCCCTGGTTTGCCATCGGCGAGATAGAGGGTTCTTGCAAGAGTGTAGGGGTTAGATGCAAGTTAATGGAAGCGTTCCGGCCCCTTCATCCTTTTGAATGAGGGCTTGTATGTGCAGGTGAGGTGAAATTATATAAACACTCACTTTGGATCTACACATGTTGGAGATAGCAATGGCAAGATCAGGCAGCTTGCTTGCGCAAACCGGTGGATCCCACTTCCAATCGCCAAAAGTTATGTGACTTTGCGAATAAAACACGAAAGCGTGAGACCGTGAATCCTGCGATAAGAGGGGAAACCCTTGAACTGCGCCAGGTCCGAAACTGCAGAACTGAGGCCCAGGTCAAACCCCTCGTCTTGAATTGCGAATCTCATTTGGCAGCTCTTGAATGGAGCGGGCGCTGAAGTGCAAGCCTTCGTGACAACTATGACTACCGTTACCAATGAAGACAAAAATTGTACAGTGCTGTTAATGTTACAATTACTGTTACTTGCGAACTATGCGGATGGTAGCAAGCAGATGGGTAATCGGTGTCGTAGTGTCCGCCCATGGCTATGGCGAAGAAGTAGGGACCGCGGTTTGCTGAGACCACCCTTGCGTCAAGGCCCCAAGGCGTCGCCGGCACTTGGACTACCAGGATCCTGAGCAGAGATCCCAACTCGATTCTGCAATCCGCTTTAGGACCCCTGTAGAATCCCCTGTAGTGATCGCTGCGCAGTCCCTTAGAACACCTAAGAGCTGGCCTATATGCACAGAACCGCATACCCTCAACCCCACACCACCGCAACCCCAGAATGTAGAAGCCTGAACTTGAAAAATAAGGAGTGCAGTAGCCCTCCCAACCCCATAAGCATTTAGGCCCCTGCAGTAAACCCTAAACCTGAAGCCCCTAAACCCTTGAACCCTAAACCCCTGCAGTTGACCCGAAGCTGAAACCTTAGAGATGCTTCCATGGTAAGGCGCTGAATGCCTGGCTTTCACCCATGCACCTAGAGTGCAGCCAACCTTTCCTCGTAGGCAGGGTTTCGGAGATTCAAGGGTTTAGGGGTTTAGGGTGTGGGGAGTCAGGGGCTTAGATATTGAAAGACTTCAGAATTTTGGGGGTCCAGTGCTTCGGGATCTAGAGGGCTAGGGATTTCAGGATTCAGAGTGTAGGGATTCGGAGGTTTGAAGATCTAGGGGGTTCGGAGTTGAGGGATTTAGGGGTTCACGATTTTTTGGGGTGTGGATCATGCTTGGCAGAAAAAGCAAGGAAACCATGTGGGTGGTTGTCAAAATTATGGTCCCTTTTTGGGTACCCCAAATATTAGGTGCCGTATTATATTAGGGATCCAAGAAACGCCCAATTTTTTGACATCCACCCATGTAGATTCCACGCATGCCTAACCACGAGTTTGGTCTTCATCTTGGGCAGAAAGAGCCAACAAACTAAGTCCGCAAGTCCGCTAGGACTCTTGTGCAAAGCCCTTCTAAAACAAGAGAACTGCTTATGTACTACACGGTCAAAAGGTCATTCTGGTGTCTCTCCATGATCACTCAAAGTAGGGCCTCATAAGAGCTGGTAGGTTGCTGCTAGATTCAGAGACAACCTCACAACGCGTCTTATCCATTTTCAACTCTCAAGGCGCCCAAGCAATGAGCGCTGCTTCGGTTCCTGAATATGTCCTACTTTGTAGGTCAGAGCTTACGGATGCAGGATGGCAACTTGGGATGCTGTGAAGGAAGTTAATTTAAGTTACTATTTTGAGGAAACCATATTGATTACTATACATATATATACCTATTATGGTACTTTGATTTAAGTTCCGTAACATCAGCATGCAGATTGAGTTTGTTTTGCCAGGTTGGTACAACCAAGCACGGGCGACGACAGCAGACGGTACACAGCGCATTGAGGGGCATCGAGCCCAGATCTGGGTCCAGGTAAATGTTGGAAAACCTGCTGCAGTAGATTTGGGCTTGTCATTGTTGATAAATTAACCTATGTTCAAGAGCAAAACTGATGGTTGTAAGTGCATTTTGTTCACATCCAGCCTAATCATTCGGCTGCTTGTTCTTCGCATGCCAGGCCGGACGATGCTGTGGCGTACGCCTTGTATTCTGTCTGCGGCCGAGCAATGCAGCAACGAAGTGCCATGAATTGATTGATCCGTCTTCAATTGTTGAAGTCTTTACGCCAAGGTTCCTGGATACTTAAATGTGGCCACGGCCTCAAATGTCCTCAGGGCATCGTGCTCGGCTGAGATGCATGTGCACGCGTCAAGCTCAGAGGCCCCTTATTATGCACAGGAGGGACTATCGAATTGTAGGAGCATGGGCCTCCAGTTTGGAAATACCGCTTCTTGTCAGAGAGATGAACAAGCAAGGTGATAGAACATTTTGCCAGAGAGCGGCCAGCGAGTGTCCGGAGCTTTCTCTGCTTTGGTGCCAGCAGTGTGCTTCTGATCGAAGTATGCGCCAGAACTAGGCTCGCTGTCCCCCTCCAAAGACTGAACTGAAAAGGACACAGTCTGGGGCGCATAGCAGTAATTATCTAGAGAGCTAAAGCGCTTGACATGCTCAAGAATTGACCAAGGGATATGTGGATGGTGCCACTGATGCCATCCTTGCGCAACTGCGTCCGATCCTCACGAATGCTCAACTGCTGAATCTCAAGTGTGTGATCAACGCCCATACTGTTGGGAGAGTACCGTACGGCTTGTCTGACAACATGAAGTCCATACTTCAACATTCGGCTCCAATTGTTGTGGCCAAACGTCCCCGCACGTCAGGCAAGTCGCTCCCTGCCGAGCTGGATGCAGAAATTGTAAACACTGACGAAGGACGACTGGTTCGCATGCAATTTGGTATCCCTAACTTGCCCCAAACCTGTACTGTAATGACTATTACCCAAAACCCAAGTACCTAATTCTTGGGTACTTGGACCCTCTGGGTATGTGGGAAGATTTGAGCCCCTCTCTGAAACCTATGGTTTCCTTTAACAACCAGATCCGCATGCCTCAAGCCTCTTAGCCATCAACCTTGCAGCAGGAGTTTGCATGTGGCCCAAGGAAGGACCCAGTCCCTATGGCAAGTCTGTATAAGTAGCATGATAAGATCATGATATGCTATGATATGCTAACATGAGACTTTGCCAGGACCTCCGTATTACCACGTGCAGACTATTGGGGCGGTGTGTGCAGAAGATGAGCACATTGAAGCCAAGGCTTGATGTGGCTGTTTGGCTGACATGACGGTTTAGGGTGTAAAGGAGCTATAGTCTGAACTCCTTAAACGGGTCTACAGAGGGCATTATATGGGGGAGTAGTATAGGGCTTATTAAGGGGGAGACTAGGAGTTTAAACTATAGCTCATACAGGGTTATGTGCCCAACAGGGGTTGGCTTTCTTGGCGGATACTCCAGCGTGTTGAAAGGTGTAAGTCCCAAAGAGATCATGGACGTTTGGCAGCCTCTGAGGGGTAGTCCCCCAAAGCTGTGTCAACTTCTACATAATCCTTGTATAATATATTCCCTGGTTCATTCCAATGTGTTACGACGGCAAAGAACTCTTAAACCCTAGACCGTTTGGGGCGAACAGTCTCTCCCTAAAGCTTCTCGGAGGACGTCGACGGAGAGGGCCGCGACGACTGGCAAGAAGAGCTATCGGACAGATTGGAGGCCAACATGAACACAGTGCGCTAGAACTTTTCTCTTTCTGCTTCCATGTTGTTTGTTCATGGTTGAGATTGCCGAGGTGTGCTCCACCCTGAGCGATTTGTGTTCTAATTGGATTTTTATGCGGCAGGATCGCCACATCTTGATATGAGGCCAATAGCTCGTGATTGCCAGGCCACCTGAATCTCAAAAAACTGCCGGCCCTTTAATTGAGCCTGAGATTGAGATCTACCAGTTTTTATTCCTTAGCTCCAAAGCATGTCCTTCAGAATTGTCTGGTACCAGCATCTTTTGTACTCGTGCAGTGGGAGAGTCTCAGGGCACATCAGGCCTGGACGATGCTAATGTCAGCCCCTCAACCATGATGGAGTAGGAGAACTCAGCCGGGGGTTAGTTCAACACGTAGAGGTAGCTTCTGAGGAGCCTAGTGGGAGGAATGCTTGCATTCAGATTTTGCTTCACTTTTTGAAAGGGCTTGCTGTCAAACCATGTGCAGCAAGAGCAGAAAAGTCTCATATGTTTCTAGGTTGCCAAAACCCACGACTATGGGAGGAGACTCGCGACCCCAAGATGTGGGGAACGGAATCAGAGATGCTGAGGCGGCGCTTTCAAGATGTGAGCCTATAGTAGTTTCCATTTCATTTTCCATTATCCCAATATGACCCCAATATACTATAGTAGTTTCCATTTCCTTTTCCATTATCCCAATATAACCCTGATGATTCTTAGTCCTGACTCCGGTGTACAAGCATGGTAGCGCGGCTTCTTCTTGTTGGCTTCTTCCCGAATTTTTCTAGGAACTCTTTGGACCCTCACTACCTGGTACCCCACTAC